TGTATACGGGCTGCTGAGCGGTGCGATAGGTAGGGAACCAAGAAAGAATAAAGTGAAATGTAACGAATATAACGGAAACATAGCCAGACCACAAACAATCTATACACTAGGGAACCTGGAGGCCCGAAGCTTCATCTTCTCTGCCCTTCCATTCAGTAGTTCGTAGTCCGCCGGATCCTGAGGCCGCTGTCCGGCGATTGCCTAGGCGTTCTCAGGTAACACCTGTCGGCGTTCCCTCCGCATGATTCCCTCCAGTAGTCTGTGACCCCGCAGGGTCCCGAGGCCGCTATCCGACGATCGTCTAAGCGCTCCCGGTGACGCCTGTTGGTGTCTCGTCTGATCCCAGTATTTCCCTAGGTCCCGAAGGGGCTGTCCGGCGAGTGCCTAAGCCCTCTCGGCGATACCTGCCCTGTATGATAAAGACTTTAGCAGTAATGTTTAGCCAGATAGTGTCCCGACATGCGTCGGTATTCCCGTATTCGTAGTAATTCTTAGTTCGGCGGTGTCCCGTAAGTGCTATCCGGCGATTGCCTAGGCACTCTCGGCGATGCTTGTCGATATACCCGACCCTTGTAATAATTCTTAGGCCGACAGGGTCCCGTAAGTACCGTCCGGCGATAGCCTAGGTACTCTCGGCGATACTTGTCGGTATTTCCGCATAGCAAAGTCCCCCCCTTTCCGCGCCGTAGTAATTCTTAGGCCGACAGGGTCCCGAAAGTACCGTCAGGCGATAGCCTAGGTATCCTCGGCGATATCTGTCGGTATATCCGCATAGCAAAGCCCTCTTCCGCTTCGTAGTAACTCTCAGGCCGACGGGTTCCCGTAAGTACTGTCCGGCGAAAGCCTAGGTACTCTCGGCGATACCTGTCGGTATTATCGCATAGTAAAGACCTCCGTATTCATTCTGAGTTCGGTGGGGTCCTGAAGGCGCTATTCGGCGATAACCTGAGTGCTCTCGGTGAAACCGACTGCCACGTCCCACGCTACGATCGCTCCCGTCCGCGGGACTGCCGCCCCGTCCCCATCGTCGGTCCGAAATACGGAGTCCCGGCAAATTATAAATATTACTGTAATTTCGACTCTGGAGTAGACTGAGATATGTATCCCAGCCCAGGATCGCATCCTTACAGCTATTACTATACTTTTACGTATTTACTGACTGAGTATCGGCTATAAAGTATTTCTTATTTCTACATGTTTCTCTTTAACTCTACTGGTCTTGCGTGACCCCTTTGTGAGCCCTGCGTGGCCTGTTATAGCTCACCTTCACTCCTACGTTTCTTGCCCCTCGGGTTGGGCCCATACCACCTCATCCACCCTGGGTTTCCACGCCCTTCTTCGCAGATTGTAAAGCCTGGCCTGGTCCTGGAGCGCCCCTTCCAAGTTGCGCCGCCCCAGTTGGTACAATTCCTTCAACTTCCTTACATTTTCGTCAGGCGCTTCCGTTCCTTGTCCCGTACCTATCGTTTCTTCCTCGTAATGAGCCCTTGACAGTCGGGGCTCCCTTCCTTGCACCACGAACGCCGGTGAATATCCTGTTGAATCCGACACTCCCGAGTTCATTGCCAGCGTTAGCTCCGACCACTTTTTGTCCCAGCACCTTTGATCGCCGTCGTTAAACTGGGCTATCATGGTTTTCACCGTCCTATTCGTTCGCTCTGTCGGATTTTCCTGCGGCGTGTAGGGCGCCGAGTATTGGTGACGGACCCCCAGCTGCTTCCTCCCTTCTCCACATAGACCGGGTATTTTTGGGATTCTTTTTTTCATTTTTTCCCTCATGCCCTGGATCCATTTGCATGGGGGCTCGTCCGTTGGTTGCGTCTCCTGCTCTATCCGGCGGCATCGCTCCCCCATCGGTTGTCTGGAGAATGCGTCGGCGACCACTTTGAGCTGTCCCTTTCTGCTGTAGCTCTAATGTCCATCTCGCCACTCTCCCCGATGTACTCGCGATGCTGTTTAGCCATTTTAGGGCCATGTGGACAGTGACCACTTTGAAGCGGTACCCATCCAAATATTGCTTCAATCGTCGGTTGGCCCACACGATGGCGAGGTACTCCTTCGCGGTTGCCGAACTATTCCTTTCGGCTCCGTTTAGCTAGCGTTCGAAATCACTCGTTCCCCTCTCCCCGCCTCTTGCGTGAGGATCGCACCCAGACCATAATCGCTGGCATCCGTCCATAGTGTCCACTTGCCATTCTTCTTCTTCACGGCTTCTTGACGGCTCGATGCATCCCATCTTCAACAAAACGTCTACCTTCTGGTTGATCTCGGCCTGCATTTTGGGGTTCTTCGGATAGTATCTTTGTTTGATCGGCTGCAGATCACTCATGGTGATTGTGTGCACCGCCACATTGGATGCTCCATTGATCTTAGAGAACGCTTCCATCTCTCGGGCCAAAAATTCCTCGACTGGCTCCTCTCTTGCTGCCACTTCCTGCCTTCTGTCCGCAGCAATCTCGGCCGCGGCCGATGCCTGGGTTGTTTCCGCATTCGTGTCTGGTTCGGGGGCCTTGTCCCCGACATCTGCTTTTGCCACGGACAGCCTCTCCTCCTGACTTCCACCCTCCCGATCTATGGCATGGATCATCACCCTGTGCCCTACACAGGTCACCACTGCCCCGACGGCGCTGAGGAAACCCACCCCAAAACCAATTCGTCTATCAGACCCGGTAGCACGAGTAATGCCATTGGGATCTCCTTGCTCCCAAAGGCTACCTTTACTACGATCTGGCGTGTGACCTCCTGGCTGCGCCCATCCGCTAACCTCACCCGTTTCTTCGCTGCCGCCTTCCTGCCTTCACCTCTCAGTCGGTCGGCCAGCTCGCGGCCCTGTGTCTACCGTGGCTCGCAGCTCCATGGCCGCAACTTCCACTACTGCGGATAGTTGCGCTTCTTCGCTGGTCATCCTGCCGACTAGGTCAGGTCGCCGCCGAGCCGCGGCGTGGGTCGCGAGGCCCACTATTCCTCATCTCCAGCAGTAGGTAATGGGTCGGGCGTTGCACTCCCGGCTCCAATGCTCCGCGCTCCCCCTCCTCCGGCATGCCTGGGCCGGATTTTTTACGTATGCATTTTCGATATTATTGTTCGTTGGTGTCGGTGTGTTGAAGTGCCTTCCCCCGGGTCGTTTTTGCACCGACGACACGCCGTTTTCTCAGCCGGCTTGTTGAAGGGATTCGCTGCCCGGCCTTAAGTGTCGGGTTCTCCCTTTGGAATTCTATGCGGTCCCTTTCCAGCACCTCGAACTCGTCAGCCAATTTCATCATGGTGTCCAGATCCCTGCACCGGTGTGGCCTCATTTACGCCCTCAAGTCTGGTATGCAATTCTCCCGTATCAACTCCGTTTGCTCCTCCTAGGGACATTTCAGGAAGACGGGGCCTGGTTCTGGGTTTTCCGTGATCTACCGCACTTTCACTTTCCGCACTGTACCGCGTTGATGTTCCGCGCTAGACGAGATATAATGCACGCACTTCGACTCCGACGCCGCAGACTCCTTTATAGCCGCTCCTTAACGGGACCTCCGCCCGGCGTCGGTACTTTTCCATCCTCGTCTCGCGGCCATTTCGTCGCATACGGATATCCGCGGTATCCGGACTGATCCTCTGTGAGAACCCTGGTTCCTCACTCTATATTAAGCAAAAACAGCTTTGCTTAAACTGTTTTGCTTTCAGGTCATCTCATCCGGTCCCGCAACAATCGTCGAGAGACATGCCGAACCTGCCATGGGCAGACCTGCAATATTACAAAAGCTTACAAATAGATGTCCTGTTTGGAGCCGACATCTTTCCATACATACTCTTGAGCTACTTACCGACAAAAATCTGTGGGTCTCTCATCGGGTAGGAAACCATTTTCGGGCCGTTGCCAAATACGGTACAAAGCATGGTCTATCTTATCCTTCTCCACGCAAACTTCCACCGAGTTAGAGACTCCGTTAGACAAACTCCTCACTCCCCATTCATTGTCCAGCAAGTATGGGCTGCTCTTAATGGACCGATTCCACCATAGTCCTCGCATGGGTGGCAAAGCCCACGTGCCACTGGACCGCGTTAGTGGCTAACAGAGTGACCAGGATATCTATTCTTTCACGTTTCATCCTTATTGCCCACGGTGTCCTCAAAAGACCGGTTGTAACGGTCGTTCTCATTCCAGTAGAACTTATGCACTTGTCCCATTCACAGCTCCTTACTAATACTTGTTTCGACTTTTCTATTCCATAGTAGTGTTCCACAACCAGACATGGCCCCACGTCTCCGCTCCAAATGAACCATGGAAAGCCGACGTGCTCGAAGGATTAGATCGCACCGTTGCCGGGTCTGCCGAGGAGTCTATCCTTTGTGGACCTGAGCCTGAGCCCCGAGAAGAGCCTCCGAGCCGTGCTAATTAATAAGTATTGCGGGAATTGCCTCGCTCACCAACACTCCAGCAGTGGCAAAGGCGGGCTGTACAGGGTGTGGGGCAAGAACAGCGTCCCAAGCTGAGCGCCGCCCTCGTCTACCCCTGTGCCGCCCCGTGGTACGGACCCCAGCGCCATCCGTCGACTCCCTTCTACAACATCGAAGCCTCAAATTCCTTCCGACGGCGCTGGTGGTGTTGTATACGAGTTCCAAAAATTTCGGGACAGCGGCGCTCATTGACCCATGCACGCCCGTGGGCAGCATCTCGGCCAGCGCCTTTAAGTTGCCCACCACTCGTACAGAGGACGAGAAGGTGTATACCGCGATTATACGCGCCAAAATGAGTGACTTCCAGATGGAGACGGTGCTTAAAGTCGAGCTCCGTTTGCGCATCCGCACGCCGCTCCGTCAGCTGAGCGATCCCGTCCAGACGCGGTTCGGCCACAATCTCGCTCATTTTGGGAGCAGACGTCTACCCGAAGATGATCCAGATCGTGTCAGGGGCGTGCACCCAGCCATAAGCCCCCAATTGTACTTTGGGGGCATTACACTACGACAGGACATTATTAAGCCATGTAGCGTAAACAATTGAATTAACATGCTGATTAAAAATATTTCGTTTCTTTTTATTTAAGAATTCCCTAGTACAACCAAAAATTGCACTTTCTTTTCATATTTCGAGGAATACACTTTGATTGCAGTTATTGGGTGTGTTTTTGTCCTTTTAAAATAACAATATACTTTGATAACTTAGAGATGACATTTTTTATGTTGTCAAATCAATAGAAATTATGCGCCCACTACTATTGTATGGTTGGACTGCCGAAAGGGATTCAAATGTATTACTGTCAGTTGTTTGGCTTATTGGTGTTTTTTCGGAAGTAGCTGAATGTGCGTACCAATCAGTAACAGCTATTAAATTCTTTGAAAAATTGCAGTTCTCTTGATTATATTCTTTTGGGTGGATTTGAGAATCAGAAAATGTATTCGATGTATTTAAAGATACTAGTGACTGATTTGATTTCGAATCAGCAGCGCAACGACTTAAAACTGAGTTAGCCTTGTAATTGGAAAATATATACACAGATTGTTGGAGCGGTTTGATGGTGTTATCATCTAATGTTTGTGGTTCCATATGAAATTTTGTTTGGCTTAATACATCAGCTTTTTTACTGGACAGTCTGTTTTTATGCGTAAGTGATATTATAGCAAGTGCATCAGAACCAAGTATTTTCGGATACACAATAGTTTGCTCCTGTTGCTCATCATCTGATGAGCATAAATCAATAGTGTCTAGAATGACTTCGCTAGATGGCGAAATTCTCCAATTAGAGTTAAGCGAATTATTGCGAGTAAGTCTAATGTTAAGTTTTGCATTTGTAATGGGAATTTGATCTCCAAGTACATGTTCAGAAATTTTTTTTAATCTGACTGAAATTGGACGGCATTGCTTAAGTAACGGAGAATTCAGAAACAAAAAGTTTTGAGTTATATCTCTCCGTTTTCCAAATTGACGACGGGGAAATGAATATATATGAAAATTATGTTCGTGGGATTTTTTAAAAGTACAATGAATGTGGTTACCGCTTGTTTTTTTTTCGAAAAATTTTTGTTTAGTACTTGATTTTAAAATTAAGGGAGTGTAACAAAATCGGTCAAGACGTTCCTGCCTCTCGGACATATATTCCACAGATACTGTTTGTTTTGTAGTTCTTAATAGTTTCTGTCCTGCTGGTGATGATATTGGGATAAAAGAACATCTATTAAATGAGTGTACGTTTCGATTTCTTCGCGATGGTAGCCGTCTATTTCTCCCCGTTGAATCCATGAATTTTTCTTCACTAAATAAGTATGTTTTTTGTATATCATTAGGAAAACGAGATTCCGAAAATTTAGATTGAAGGCTAAAATTCAAAAGAAAAGCATTCCGCAATTCGTCGTTTTCATTTTTTCCTTCATGTTTAATTTCAGGCTCCGGGGAGTCGCAAACTATTACATCATCCTCCATGCAACAAATATTTTCGTGTTCCTGCAATGAACAAAATAGGCAGAGATTTATATTATTAACCGTCCATATTTATGTTATTATACCCGATACTCAAAAAGAGTAAAGGGGTATATTAGATTTGTGGTGAAAGTGGATGTGTGCAAAAGTCCAGAAGGAACCGTCTCCAACCGTCTTGATCAGCATCAATACCCGAGTCGATCGAGCCATGTCCGTCTGTCCGTCCGCATGAGCGCCTAGTGCATCCACAATTTTAAAGATACGGGAAAATGAAAACCGGCCTCTCTCTCTCTGTATCTCTGGTTTAATTCTTGGTTTCTTGGCAACTATATATTAAATGCGTTTTCTTGGCTTCTATGGCTTGCGCCAGACGAGCCGCTTGTAGAGATGGATTTTGCAGAAAACGGTTTGCTGCCATCCCGTTTGCACTTTCCTCGAATATTTCGTGCGTGAGAAGCACGTAGCTAAACCCATCTCTACTTGCTCCCTATCTGATAAAATAGGTATCGTAGCAACCTGCCTGCCTTCCCATATATGTAACTATGTCCGGGGACATATATAAAGGAAGAGATCTAACTGTTCTGCGATCACGTTCGGTGAGTTTGACGATATTGACCGCATTCGCGCACTGATTCGCACATCTCCCAGTCCTCCCTAAGTGGGATTAATACCTAGACTACTCTCCCCCCTTGGTAGTTTCGGCAGTCTCGTCAGGATTACCGACTCATATTCTGAGAGCGGAAAGTGTTGCTACTTTCTTTTTTTATTTATTTATTAAATTAACAAATTATCTTTTAATAATGGTACTTAATTACAAAAGGCGAAAAAAGATAACTTAAAAGTTAGCTAAATTTAAGTGATTATAAATATTGCATGCAATAAGTTTAAGAGTCAGTTCAGGGAATAGGGTATGACAGAGGGAGGGAGTTCTAATTATACTATAATATTATACTATTAGTTGAACACCACAATAGTAGTTCAGCTAGATACAGTTGAAGGCGTGTGTGCAAATACCAATCAGAGTAAGACAGACAGATTTTAACATCATCAGCATACATTAGTGTAGTAGAGTATTTTAAAATGCAACTTGGTACCTTATCTGGACCCGCAGAAAACGATATGTCCATAGATGACAAAACTTCCAGAACAACGCTTTCCTCGAAAATGGGCAGAAAAATGCTGTTAGCTTGAGGTAGCTGGTACGGATACGGAGTGGATGCGTTGTAAATATGAGACGAGTACGTTTTTTGGAAAAAGGTAGCGAATAAATTTGCAATACATTTATAATAGAGCCTGGATTTATTATTTTTTAAGTATGAAGTATGGAGAACCAGGGAGGCTTGGACAATGCAGGTACAGTGATATCTGGAACAAATGTATTAGAGGCGGACTATATAGAGCTATAAAACGAGTTAACAGTTAACAGTTCGGTAATGAATAAAGAAACGACCAATCAACACGCGAGAGATGTAGATCTAAATCGATAAAGTTTGTTTTGCAAACACAACCAGATCGGGTACACTCAAGGGATATCGACAAATATATTGGGCTTGCTCTGGGTACCGTAGCAAGAGAAGCATCTTTAACAAACAAAACACTGGTGATTAACAGAAATTATAACCAATATTAAAGAGATTCGATGATATACCAAACCAAAATGACAAACAATGTTGTATGATATTTAAACAAAGGGCAAAATGCAGGAGGAGGAGCAAGAAAAACACGATCGGCTTAAGCAAGAGCTAGAAGCGAATGATAGCCGGGTTAATGATGATTATTTTCGCCAAAGTGGTGGCTATCATTATGTTTTGTAACTCGAGCGTCAGAATTCAATTTCGCGCCAAAAGGGCTCTATACAAATGTGAAGAATTTATTTCTTCAGGATTTTTACAGGGTTGTCCATGGTATGATTAAAAGGAGGCAGAAATACTTGTTGAGTGACCCAGTAACATTGAAAAAATATAAAAATGTCTTAACTATACCATATTAATAGTTAACTTCTTATCTACCTCAAATTGTCTTTGTCAACCACCCTCCCTTTTAATGGATCAGGGGGTTAGTTTGCTTAATAACCCCCCATTGGCTTTTACTAGGACTTCCTCTCCTACGTTGAACGTCCTGTTTTGATTGGCTGTGGTGTTCCCTTTCAAGCTGTTCTTGCTTCGCCTTTATTACCCTCAACATTATTTCTTCTCCCATTGGCGAAGCTTGAGTGAACCGCTTCAACAGGTGTTCTATTCGTGACCAATGTACAATGGACTGTCCCGTTGTACTTAATAGTCGCTAGAATGGCTAGATCAATCATAAAATCGACTTGCGCTTGGAGTTTTAGGCATCTGGCATTTTCTAGTAGGGTGCTGTGGCTTCCACCTGTTCGTTTGATGTGCTGTGGCATCAATGTCGAACTGGTTCTTTAACAAAGACCGAATAGTCTTTAAATTAAAAGCTGCCTCGTCGCAATGAGTGTTTCTGGTGTTTGGGAAGATGTGTACCAACTGCAGAATCGGTATTTTTACGTCTGTGGCCGTGTGCGAAGCAACTTGCTGTGTAATTGCTAACTTTGAGAACTTGTCGACCGCAGTGTGAACATATTTTCCTACACTGGAGAATGTGTCAATGTGAATAAATTCGCCTACCATTGCTGGTTTTGGTGTTACTCATAATTTCTGCTCCCTAGGGTGTCTATCGTATTTTCATTTTTGACTTATCCTGCAGTTTGTTACTACTTTGTCGCGATTCTTTCCGTTTTTGGAAAGTAGTAATCACGCAGCACCTGCTTCACATTTTTCTGGGCTGATCTGTGTGCCCGATTGTGTTCGGTGACTACTATTTCCCTTCGCTCTCCGTCATTGGTGATATCCGTCGCTTTGCAATAGCGGAATTTTGTGTCCGCGAAGGCCAGGTCCGCCAGTATTGGCAGGGTGCAGTGGATGAATTTAACGACCCCAGGCTTTACTACTTCCTTGATGGAATCTAGAAGCGTATCGTAATTGACAAAGTCAATTTTGTGACGTGTTTTTTTGGAGAAGAGGATGTGAAGCTGCTTTAAAGGGGTACTTGATTCTTCCAGGATTTTTTTTATTTCTGAAGCAGCTCAAAGGTTTGCCAGCGGCTTCGATTACATAAGTAAGCGAGGCCTTACTGTGAATTGTAGCTGCACCTGACCGACTTGGCCTCTCTAAAACATTAATGTTTTGCCACGATTAATGTGTTGCGTCTGCTACATGATTGTCCATGTGGAAGACCCTTGCGCCACATTCATCAATTCGCGCTTTGCAGCATTTTATTTTTGAGTTGGGATTCCTGTTGAAACCTGATTATAAATATTGCGTGCAATAAGTTTAAGAGTCAGTTCAGGGGATAGGGTATGACAGAGGGAGGGAGTTATAATTATAGTATAAAACCCTGAAAGGTTCATGATCGGCATAATTAGACCTACATATGGGTAAACGGATAGGCCTAAAAGATCTAAAAGGCGCACACTCAAAACATTGCTAAAATATGTGGTAATCTGCGAGACCGTCAGCACCTTCGTTAATTGGGCTTCTGTTCTCTCGCACCCTATAGTGTTTTCTTGCGTACCGTCCGTCGTATTATTGGTAATAATGCTTCCAGAAGGGTGCATGGCTCCTATTGGCTACCGTGGTATACGAAGGGTCTTGTGAAATATAAATAATAATTTATATAAATAATATAAACGATTTGGTAAGACCCTGTGGACTGTGTGAGGTATGTGCAGCATAAGAGGGAGTTTGCTTTTTTAAGCAAATTTTTGTGCAACCAGTATATTGCCGTCGTTGAAAGGGTACTTAAAATTAATTCCAGGCCGTTTTGGCATTTCATAAATTCCAAAAGGTCGACGAGCTTTTTTCATTTAACTATGAGCCTGGGTAACTTAAGCGCTAATACGGATAGTGGTATAGCAAACCTTTTTGCTTCTTTTTTTTAACTTAAACGCTATTCCCTCGGTGGTCAAAATCGGCACACTTAATGTATCAGAGGTGGATATTTTGGAGGCAATGATGAGTTCGATAATTCTAATAAAACCGACTGGGATGGCATTTCTGCCTGCCTTCTTCGCAGCTGTGATGTTGCGTTCTATCAACCTTTCAAAATTCTCTTCACAAATTCGCTGCTAACGGGTCGGTTTATTGGCAAGTGGAAAGCTACCACGATTACGCCAATTTTTAAGAAAGGTGCCAAAAATCGGATCTTCAATGATCTCCAATTGCCAAACTCAGCAATGTGTCAAAACTTCTAGAGCGAATCATTGCCAGAAAGATCACTTTTCTCATGAGGTCGTACATTACCGCAAGTCAGCATGTTTTTATGCCGTGTAGAACCACTAATCTCATCGATTTCGGTTATTTCTGCCCTCATACTTTTGAAATGCACTCTCAAGTAGATGTTGTGTATACTGATTTTGCTAACGCCTTTGACAAAGTCTCCCACTGTGCCTTAGGGATACATTCATTCCTGCTCAGTTAATTTAGGTCATATCTTGAGCGGCGAGAGTATGTCGTATTGGTAAATGGAAAGCCTTCGGACCCATTCTTGGCTACTTCCGGCCTTATACAGGGAAGTACACTTGGTCCACTTCTGTTCTCAATTTTTATCAACGACAGATCTCTCAGCATTCAAGCTTCTGAGCATCTGCTTTATGCTGATGATCTTAAAATCGATCAAAATGTATCCTTCTTCATTGGTGCAGACTTAATTCGCTCCCCCTCTACGTTACAAATGTTGCTTACAATCTTCAATGTGCTGGCCTCATATTCTGTAGACGGAAATACTTGACAAGACCCCTGCTTGGCCGACTCAAGTTTTTTTTTTTTTGCTGAGCATCTGAATTTTATATTGCCAAAACCCTATGCTATGTTTGGCTTTGTTAAGCGCAATTCATCGCAGTTCAAGGACCCATATACGAGGCTTAGTTTGTACTCATTCCTTGTGCGCTCGCGCCTTGAATACGCTTTCATGGTCTGGAATCCCGCTGGGGTCGTTCAAATTTCACGCATTGAGAG